TTTCTTCTTTAATTTCCTCTGTGACTCATTGGTTATTCAGAAGTGTGTTGTTCACTTTCCATGTGTTTATGAAATTTTTTGAGTTTCTTTTGCTATGGATCTCCAATTTCATTGCACTATGGTCTGATAATATACAGGGGAATAACTTCAATTCCTTTGCATTTAATTAAACATGTTCTATGTGTGAATATGTGGTCTATTTTGGAGAATGACCCATGTGCAGCTAAGAAGAATGTGTATTCTGATTTTGTGGGGTGGAACATTCTGTAAACATCTGTTAAGTTCATTTGTTCATGAGTTTGATTGAGTTCTAGTATTTCATTACTTATTTTTTGTCTAGGTGATCTGTCTATTTGTGACAGTGGGGTGTTGAGGTCCCCCACTATAATTGTATTAGTGCATATATGACTTTTCATGTCTGTTAGTATTCGTTTTATATAGTTGGGCACACTAGTGTTTGGTGCATGGATATTTATGATTGTCATCTCTTCCTGTTGGATTGTTCCCTTTACAAGGATGTAGTGTCCTTCTTCGTCTCTCTTAATCAGTGTTGGTTTGAAATCTACTTGATCTGCAAAGAGGATAGCTACTCCTGCTTTTTTTTGGGCTCCCATCGCGTGGAGTATTGTTTTCCACCCTTTAACTTTTAGTTTATGAGTTTCCTTTTGAATTAAATGTGTTTCTTGTATGCAGCATATTGTTAGATTTTGCTTCTTGACCCATTCTGCCAGTCTATTTCTTTTGATTGGTGAATTGAGACCATTAACACTGATGGTTATACCTGGAACGTATTGACTTGTCATTGCCATGACTTTTTCTTTTTGTTGGGTTCTCCCCCTTCGCATTTAATTTCTTGTCACACCAGATGGGTTCATTCTGCTTTGCTTCCTGGGGTTGTGATCCTCAATGTCTGTTCCTAGGATATTGTCTAAAATTTTTTGGCTGGTTTGGTATTTATGAAGATTCTAAGGTGCTCTTTGTCATGAAAGTATCTTATTTCTCCATCCATTTTGAAAGATAGTTTTGCAGGGTACATCAACCTGGGTTGGAGGCTGTTTTCTTTCAGGGCTTGGAATATGTCACTCCAAGCTCTTCTTGCCTTGATGGTTTGTGTTGAGAAGTCTGCC